AGAACAAAACGACAGCAACTTGTCTGTTCCCCTTCCCCTAATTCCCCAGCACTGTTCCCATCCCCCCAATTCCCCAATAAAAATCTTTAAAAAAAAGAAAAAATGCAAGGGAGGGCCGACTGAGTGGCTCAGTTGGTTAAGAGCTCGCTCAAAGGTTTGAGCTCTGAGCAACAGCGGTTCGAGTCCGGCCGGAGCTAAGCTGCCACTGAGCTGCCAACAGGTGGCAGGATGGCTCAGCTTAAAAAAAAAATGCAAGGGAATCATAATACCGCCAAAAGACAGTAAGATATGCTTGTTACCTTGTACTAAAAAAGGTAACGATGAAAAACCACGGGGTGGGGGGGGGGACCTATCTACAGGACCACGGTAATAATTTTAAATTTGAGAACTAGATATATTGTAAACAAAATTAATAGGCAAGCTGTAAAAGCTGGACACTACAGCACTGACAAGTAATTCATATCATCCTATGGCGGGACCTTTGCAAGCCAACAGGAAGACCCAACAGGCAAGGAAAATGGCCAATAAATACTCGAAAAGATGTTCTCGACCATATTACCACACAGAAAAGCGAATTAAATGCCTTTTATACCACTTGGTCTTTTCTTTCCTTTGGGTTTTAAAATGCAAACCCAGTCTTTCTAAAGACTGAATCTGGCGCCGCCGAGCGGCGGGGCAGTACCTTCGAGCGCGCGCCGCACCTTTTCCTTCCTCTCGTGGGCGACGCGCTGCGCCTCCTCGCGGGCTTTGCGATACAGGTATTCGCGGCGCAGGCGGGCCTCACGGCGCAGCTGGGGAACAACGGGTCAGGTCAGCCACTCTTGCCAAGCACGCCCAGGCCCCGGGACCATCCACCCCGAGCTCAAGAGCCACATCCCCAAGCCCTCCACGAACCCCCAACCTCCAAAACAAGAGCTGAAACATCCCTACCATTCTGAGCGCCGCTTCCACGTGGGTCCTGGAGACTCTGCGGGCGCAGCCTGCGATACGCAGCCCTCGCTTCCGCCCTCAACCAAGAAGGTGGTTAAAGGATTCACTAAACGCGGCTGCAGCCGAAAATGCCCAATATTAATATAAGGAAGTGGATAGGGTCGCAACACTATTGGCCAGTCAGGAAGCGCATGCTCAGTGGAGCAACCAGTAAGCGAAGAGATTGGCAAGATGTTGTCACGTGGTCTAGGACAGCCATTAGTAAAGATGTCAGCCAGTGGCTTCACCATCTATCGCCAGTATACCGGATGCCCAACTTTAAAGTAACGAACCACGAAAATAGTATTGGCGGCTCCAAATAGTGCAGCAACTGTAAAAGCAGCACAACAGTTGACCGTAGGGTCTCTTATCGGCTCCTTCTGGAATTAAATTTAAAGCCGCTTCTTTAAAATGGTTGCTACGCCTCCTTCCATCGCCACAGCGATAGCCCTACTTTTAAAGCGGCCGCTTCCAGAAGCGACTCGAACCACCCACAGCTCTCGCCGACTGTCCGGTTGGCTGATCCGTTTGGGGGGCTAAACGGGAAAAGCGGCTAATCAGTTCCGTAATACACCCACTCCAAGGACGCTTGCCCTCAAAAGCCGTGACATGGCGGCTTCCACACCCTGGGCCTAGCAGCTGGGAACGCCCGCTCGAAGGCGGGTGTCGCGCAGTTATTGGCTATAATACTCACAGTGGGCGGTGACTGGGCAGTGGAAAGAGGCTGACTCCAGACGAGCGTGACGGGCACATGGCGGCGCCGGACCTACGGGCCGAGCTGGACTCGCTGCTCCTGCAGCTGCTCCGGGACCTGGAAGAACTGGAGGCGAAGCGGGTGGCGCTGAACGCCCGGGTGGAGGAGGTGGAAACCTGGAGCGGGCGAGCGGGCGGGCACGCCGAGGTAAACTGAGTTTTCACCGCCTCTCCTCTCTCCGCAGGGCTGGCTCTCGCTTTCCAAAGCTCGCTACGCTATGGGTACCAAGTCGGTAGGGCCCCTACAGTATGCCTCTCGCATGGAGCCCCAGGTCTGCGTCTGTACCAGGTGAGGAACCTTGCACACCGGAACGGGTGAGCGAGCAGTGTCCTGGCCGGGGCTGTCAAAGTCCATTCTCCTTTCTCGTTCTTTAGCGAGACGCAAAACGGTCTCCAGAAATTTCGGGTGGTAAGAGCCAGCGCCCAGACTCCAGAGGAGGTGGGGCCCCGCGAGGCAGGTGAGCCACCCTCTCCTTCTTTCAATCTTGGCCTCTTCTGGATGTCAAAGAGAAAATGCACAGGGCAATTGAGGAGATGATTTTATTCAGGTTGTTGCCATAGAGAGCGCCTCAGATCTGAAGATCAGAATGTGTCAGGAGGTAGTTTTGTCTTAGACTTTTATAGGGAGAAATAGACAAGTTATAGGTGAAGTTCTTTACAGTTGGGATTGTTCGGTGTTAGGTCCTTACTTCTTAAAAATGACCTAAGAGACAGTTTTCGTTCCAAAAGCTTTATTAAGCCAAGCCTGGCAACCACCTCATTCTGCAAGAGGAGAACGGCCCCGAGGTCTTGGCAGGTGGAAGTTTTATAAGGCTTGATTTCCAGGGTTTTGGGCAAAAGCAGAAGCAAAGCAAATGTACAGAAGCAAGAAGAGCTGTTAGTTTTGGTGAGATGTCTCAAACCAGTTGCAAAAAAATACTCCTGTAAAATTTCAACCTATTTCTTGTAAATCTAAGCTTTTACTATAACCATTTCTTGTGATATTAAGTTTCAGTTTGTTATTACCACACTCTGGTGTCTGAATAGGATACTCCTGCTAAGTCTAGCTGCAGTAGCTGAAGGGTGGCTTCCTCTTATCTGTCAAGGCTGGGATATTTTTAGAATAAGCCTGTCTGGCCTAGGGTCCGGGCCCGGGTCCTCACATTAGCAATCAGGGCACGTCTCAGTTAATGAACAGAAAATGTGTATCTCTGTCTAGCTAGTTTCAGGGGAACTAACTTTTAATCTTAGCTAATCATTCATGAGACAGAGAATGGGAGTTGGAGGGGCTGTCTGGCCTTTCAGCATGTTCAGGCAAAATGGGAAAGGTCAGTGTGTGGCTTTGTCACAGGTAAACAAGGGTGTCATCTGTTGATTTTATGAGAGTCATGAGCAATTGTGGACAGAGACCCTCATCTGAATCACAAGGTGGGGAAGGGTAGTTCTTTGTGGTAAGCTGGTGTATGGAACATAAAAGGTTGCGAGGACTTTTCAATAATCAGTATTTTTTTCCAAGATCATGAGCTTAGATCAAATTCAACATTGTCACCTGGAAGAAAAGGGCCAGGAAAGGTAACAAGAACCCAACCTCTACCCTTACTTTTTGTAGTTCTGCGCAGGCGCAAGGGCCTCACCAGGACCCCAGAGCCAGAGTCCTCCCCAGCCCCCCAGGACCCTCTGAACTGGTTTGGAATCCTGGTTCCCCACAGTCTGCGGCAGGCCCAAGCCAGCTTCAGGGAGGGTGAGTGGACTCTGTGTTGGCCATATGGCCCTGGCCCAAACTCGGACCTTCTACCTACAGGGAGCACTTGAGCGCTAATGCCAGAGCTAGGGTTAGTTTTCAAATGGCTTTGCAGGTTTTCTCCATTGCCGACTCTTGTTACATACCTGCTGTTTTTCTAAAAGCATTTATTGGCTGTCGGCAGTGTTCCAGGCTTATGATATAGGTGCTGGAGATACAGCAGGAAACAAAAAGGACAAATATCCCTCATAGAGTGTTATATACTTGAGGGAAGAAAGGCAACCTGCAGATAAGTAATGGGAATTGTTATGAAAAAATAAGAGGCTGTGGTGGATGGAGTAGGACAGAAGTGGGCTGAGGGATCTGTCTTATGAAGGGTGGCCTGGGAAGGCCTCTTTGAAAAAATGAAGGAGGGAGCTTTGTGGGTGACCTGGGGCAACAGTGTTCTAGGTGGGGAGACCAGGCAGGGCGAAAGCCCTATGGTGAGATCAGGTCTGGCATGGCAGAGAAGTGGCCTGTGGGCTGCAGTGGAGTAGGTTCAGCAGGGAGTACCCAGAGCTGAGGTCAGACAAGGCCGGATGCAAGTGATCTGAGGGCTGTGTAGGCCCTGAGGAGGACTTTGGGAGTAATGAGGTAGGCTCGCAGGGTGACAGTGGATGCTGGGTTGGAAGCAGCAAGAACAGAGGGATGAAGCAGGTGCCAGGGAGCAGCCAGGTTTGAGATGCAAATGGAGGTGGAAGAGGGGCTAAGTAGGGGAACCTGTGTGTTTTGAGAGCAGAAGCACCCAGGATTTGCTGACAGATCAGTTTGGGATTAAGGGAAGGATAAGAGTGAAGAATGAGCCCACAGTGTCCAGCCAGAATACCTGGGAGGATGGAGCTGCCCTCAGAAGGCTGCAGAGCAGCAGCCGAGGGTACGTCAGGGGTTGGGTGTGGGTGTGTTCCCAGTGCTGTGTGGTGGAGATTCTGAGTGGGCATTTGAGCACGTGCATCTGGAAATTAGAAGAGGCCTAAACTGGAGAGAGAAATTCTGGAGCCCATCACATAACACTGGTGTTTAAATTCCCCAGTTGCTGACACAGATGCAGCATTAAAGCTGAGGCAGGGTAAGATCGAAGAGAGCTGGGAGTGTGAACAGGAAGTGAGGGAGAGGAAGGTGAGAAACCATTAGAGGAGACTGAGAAGCAGCAGTGAGGCAGGAGCAACACCCAGAGGGTGAAGTGTCCCAGAAGCCAGGAGCAGAGTTTCCTGAACGGAGGGGATCAGATGTGTGTCCAGCCGTTACTGGGCAGGTAGGCCGGAGACAGGACTGGCCAGGAATGGGCAGCAGAGGCACCAGGCCAAAGCTACCTTGAGGTGGATCCAGCATGTGGATCACTCTTAGGAGCAGAGAAAATAGGGGTAAGGAGTGAGGGCGAGAGTAGTGAGGTACTGTGATAATGGAGGAAAGAAGGAAGAAAATAAGGGCATGAGACAGTGTTACGATCTGGATTTTTAGCTGCTGGTGGGTGATAGAAGGGGGTCAAGGAGGTTTTCTGAGGAGGTGACATTTTAGCAAAGACCTGAAAGAGGTGAGAGTGTGGGTCCAGTGAGGTTCTGAAGCAGCCAATACCAGGCTGTACCTGGAATGTTTTAGAAATAGTGCAGAGGCCAGAGAGGCCTGCAGCCTTTCACGTCCCTGGGGCTGTCCAGAGTCCCCTGCATCATGTGTCACAGCACAGATATTAATACCACGATGACAATCTCTCCCCTTCCTCTAGGCCTGCAGCTGGCTGCAGACATGGCCAGCCTTCAGATCCGCATCAGCTGGGGTCGAAGCCAGCTCCAGGGGCTCCAGGACACACTCAAACAGCTCGAGTCCAGGGTGGCCTGACCTGTGGCCAAAAGCAGGCCATGAGCACAGCTATTCTTTTATATGGCTCCTTTATCTAGGCTTTCTTCCTGCCCCTGCCCTCCCCCCCACCCTTCACTCCCTACCCCCAGTTTCCCTCTGTAAAACATCTCTGCTGCATGTTTCCAACTTTGTTAGGTATGAAAGCTTAAAGAGGCAAACAGGGATGTTGAAAGTCACTACTGTGAAACCACTTCTAGTCCTGTGTTCTAGGACACACATGTAGGGCAGGTGCAAAGCTGTTAGATTAGTTTACACTAGTGAACAACTAGAACAACATCAGCATAAATCAGTATGGGTGACATACTGCACAGCGATGGTGGGAAGGACAAGAAGTAGGTGCTTCAGTTTCACTAGATCCTCAGAACTGATTTTGATGGAGGAAAAAAAATGCATGGCTAACAGATCAGAAGAGAATGATTCCACATCAATAAAAACACACAAACACCTGTGTTGATGGGCAGCTCTTGGCAGGTTTTAAGCGAGAAAATAAAAAAAAGATATGACCTAGGGCTGGCCGAGTGGCGCGATGGTTAAGAACTGGCTTGGGACGCCAGAGGGCCCCAGTTCGGATCCCACATATGAGGGCCAGTGACACTGCCCTCTACAGCTAAGATGCTGAACAACAACTCAACCTGGAGCTGGGCTGCCATGAGTCGCTGGCAACGGCGTAGGCTGCAGCCCCTGTGGCAGTGGGTTGCCATGGGCTACCGTATGTAGCCAGCAGCCAACCTGAGCGGCCAGCAGCTGCAGTGAACGGCCATCCTGGCGACTGATCTTGCCCGGGAAGAGCGCAATGATGGTGCCAACTTGGGCCAGTGAAGCAACGTCCTCCACAACTAGAAGAACAAAAAAAACGAAAGCAATTTGTCTGTTCCCCTTCCCCCAATTCCCCAGAACTGTTCCCTTCCCCCCAATACCCCAGCACTGTTCCCTTCCCCCCAATACCCCAATAAAAAAAATCTTTAGAAACAAAAAAAAGATATGACCTAGATTTTCAAATGAACTCTAGGAAGAGACCTTTCAGATTTTTAAAAACCTGCCTTTATCTTTCCAGGAGTGAGGCTGAACCTGTTGTAATTTGTTGAAGGGCCAATTATATTTCCTGCTCTATGAACTCTGTGTCCTTGCTTCATTTTTCTACTGGGTTGTTTACATTTTACCAGTTCCTAGGTGCTAATTTTTATACTTGGGGAAATTTGCTCCTTTGTTCATAATATGAGTGATGTAAATATTTTTTCCAGTTTGTCTTTTAACTTTGCTTATGGTGGTTTTTAAAAAACTTTTTAGATAAAACACATACAGAACTGAATAGCATAATTAATAAAAGTGAAAGCTATAGTAACAAGTACTAAACTCTTGTGATTCTTTAGTCAGTTTTATTAATAGAGTTGAATTTATCAGCTGTTTTATGATTTCTGGATTTGGGGCTATAAATAAATGAGATGATAAGGGAATTCTCCAATTTTTCTCAAGAACGTGTAGTTTCAGTTGAGGTGTGAGGTGAGTCCTTCATTCAACTTTGTCTTTTCTACCATAGGTCCACATACTGTGTGTTGTTGATTAATCCACCCTTTCTGCTGATTTGAGATGCCACCCTTTTTTTTTGTTTAATCCCAGTGTATACCCGTACCGTATTCTGTACCATTAATCTTACTGCCAGCTGATACACAGCTACATTTTTTAATTCTTAAGCCTTCTTAACATATACTATAATCGTAGTAGGACAGGTTTGCACTTGGATTGAGGGGAATCATTTTTGGTTTTTGGCCATGTTGAGCTCTAGTTGTCAGTGAAAAGCCTAAACGAAGCATTCAAATGGAAAATGGAGAAAAAGACTCCCCACACACAAAGGTTGAATTTTAGCTACCAACTAAGTGCTAACCAGTGAGATTTAGAAGCCAAAATAAGTAAGAGATAACACATTTCATTTTTGCTTTTCACAGAACTCAACGTGGAGTCTCGCTCCCAGGTGGGGTCCTTTATATAGACTTTTGATGTCAGTTGATGTCAAAAGTCAAGCAATAGCTTCCCTTCATTTACAGTTTTAAGTTTCGGGTGTGGCTGTGCTCCCGGCGGGGTCGGCAAACGCTCGGTGGTGACAGATGACGCTCAGCAACCCGCAAGGGCTCCAGCTCTGGGAGACTGCCAGCGGGCTGGAGAGGCCCGGGTGTTCTAACAGCCCCAGTCTGTAGGAAGGGATGGGGTCCAGGAGCTGTGGCTCGCGCAGCCGCACTCAAGATGAATTTCCACAAGGGCGGAGCAAACCCTTTGGTGTATAGTTGTTGAATATGGGTGCCTGCCTACTCAAGTGATGTAGTACATTGAAGAGAGACAGTAGTTATTGGGTCCCATATGGTGTAGTGGTTAGGATTCCTGTTTTCAACCAGGTGGCCTGGGTTTGACTCCCATTATGGAAACGATAACTATAAATAAGAGTGGTTAGCTCTTTTTCTTTAATTTTTTTTCTTTTTTCTTAGCTCTCACACCTAAAACACCTCAGGTTTTTCCTTTTAAACCTGGTGAAACTGAAGCCCAGCAAGCTCTGGGCCCCAAGTTCTGTGTTTTGATTGAATTGTCAATTTTCATCACATCATTAGCTAGTTGTTTTCTCTGTCAGTAACTCAATTATATTACATGCCATATACTTTATAGATGTGAACAATATTATAAATAAATATTAAATAAAAACATTTTAAATATTCAAAATTCATTGTCAAACTCCTGGTGGAGGCGACCCCTTGCTGGGACCCTCCCACACGCTTAGTGGCGGCCCCTCCGCGAAGCAGAGGGGGAGTGGTGGTGAAGAGTAGAGCCAGGTCCAGCGCAGCCTCTGTGTCAAGAGACTGCAGAGAGCCAGGTTGGAAGAGGTCCCTGACAATTTAACTTTCTGTAGCATTGCGGCTGCTTTATTTTCCTTGTGGTCCAATGTATAGAGTTCTTTCCATCTGAGCAATTCCGGCTTGCCATTCCTTCATGGAAATAGCTTCAAACTTTTAAATGATCGCTCCCCCGACACGTGCACACTTCCCATCAAAAGAAGAGCTAAACTTACAAACATGAGTCAATAAGTGCCTTCCTCAGCTTTCCACCCCTTTTCCCTGTTAATCAGGGAGGCTGGGTCCTGCTCCCAGGAGTGCACAACAACACTCCTTTATCCATACAGACTTTCCTGGGGGAGACATTACAGTAAGTTTACTTAACATAGATGATAGGTTCTTGGAGCTGCAGTGAAACATATAAGGAAACCATTTTTACCATAGGCTAATCGATACAAACAAGAGTTAAGTGTCTATGGCATCTCATTACCGTTACAATGAAAGGGACGTTATTCAAGGACCTGCTCTATTTCTGTAATCATTAATTTTAAGTGTAAACAGTAAAATAGAACACAGTGGTTTCTGGTCTGGCATGTGTTAAAAATAGAAACAGGCCAAAATGGAGTCACTTTTGCCAAGTCACGTCACCAAACCAAAACTTCCTAATTGCATTTTCAGCTTCTCCCAAGAGTGAAATTTTAAACCTATGTGACCTGATAAGACCTGCATAATAAGACCCCCTGATGCCCCCTAAGGGAAGGTCCTCGCCTGAACTAATCCACTCTTAACTTCTTAGTCTCACCCTCTTACTGCCTTATAAAAATCTTGCGTTTTGTACAACTCATCAGAGCACCCTTCTAGTTGCTAGATGGCATGCTGCTTGATTCATGAATCACTTAATAAAGCCAACTAGATTTCTGGGTTGCATTCTTTTCTTAACACATGCAAAAAGCTTGGAAGTCATCATGCCTATCTTCACAAGAAAAAAGCTGAATAAACTAAAATTCAACAACTCTTCTAAGATCCATGAGCAAATTGAGACCACAGGGCAAAACACTGCCTTGAAAACCAGAAAGAATATCTAATACTGAGAGTCATAGCGTACCAGGTTCAGAAGCTGCTGCTGAGTCAGCAACTGGCAGGAAAACTTAAAGGCTAACTGACACTCCCCCTCTTGGGGGTTTTGCCCCAGGAGCCCTGCCAGGTTCTCAGGGTCAAGACCAGAGAAAAATACCCTGGTGCTTCTGACAATGGGAAGGGAAAAGTAACCACTTTGAAATATGCCCAGAGTACCCAGTTCTCTTTAACAAAGTCCTATTCGTAGGGAAACCAGAGCCTACCCAACCTGGAGAAAGGTAAATACCCAGCTTCAACTCACTCTAGTCTTCTTTTGTCACATAAAAGGAGGAAAAAAAACAAAAAAACAAAACTGAGGAGCGCTTGTAAAGGTCACATACCAGAGGCACAGGCTCACTGAAAGAGTGAGACCTAATCACAGGATTAGAGAACACTCCTCCCACCACTAACCACCAAACCACTAAGGTTTCTGTTTTATAATAGGGGTTATAGACTAAAGAACTGCAAGGCTCTGAAGCTATGTAAGAAGTTTTATGGGAAATCCAAAGACAATAGTGGAGACCAAAATAAGAGGAAAAAAACATGTTCTGGCCTGGAATTAACCTCTGGTCGTTCGCAAAAGGTGAAATGGTTCACACAAGACTCTACAAAGTGGGAGAGCAAAGAAAGTTTTTATTCAAGTTAGGGCAGAGAGAAAATGCCCATGGCGGTGTCCAAGGATGACGGCTCCCATGCGTTGTAAGGAGAGAAACACAGGCAGGGGCCGTTGCTGGGGCAGAGTCTTAGAACAGACAATTGCACCTAACTTCAGGTTAGCTTTTTCTTATATAGGAAAAGGGGAGTTGGTCAGGCAGGTTTGAGGGCTGACATCGCTTCCCCCTGGGGTCTGGTCTGTTTGAAGATGATGTTATTTCCAGACTCTGAACTCAGACTCGGCCACCTCAGCCTGGGACTTTATGAGTCACCAGTAAATGCTGCAAGGGAGTTGTAAATTGGATTCTGGTGTCCGGGTACCTGAGGATTAAGAAATTGCTTTCTTCAAGTTAGGAAATAGATTTCTTAAGTTAATCAGCGAGGGGAGAAACAAAGAGGAAACAGCTAAATATAAGGATGGATCAAACTGCAAACAAACTAGTCTAATTACAGGTAGCTAGATAGCAAACTATGCAGTGAGTTAAACTGCAAAAACTAGCTAAGTCTAACTGCACTATTGATTTACTGAATTTCACCCTTACAGTGCAGCCACACCCCTGGCCCTTTTTTAGAGCACACTTTCCAACAGTGAATTTTGTAATTTTTGCATCCTTTGTAGTCTGGATAGCCTGAGAACCTCACAAATCATCAAGTGCTGGTCTTCTTTTTGCTTATCTGTCCCTTCCTCAATTTATTTCTTTCCTCTTGCATTTTGCTATAAGCAGTAAGGAGAAACCAGTCAGTACCTTCAAAACTTTGCTTGGAAGTCTCTTAAATATCCAAGTTCATTGCTTCTCAGTTTTACTTTCTGTCCAACAGAACACAATTCAGCTAAGTTCTCTACCATTTTAATGAGGATGTGCTTATCCTCCATTGTCCAATAACATGTTCCTCATTTCCTTCTAAGTCCTCACCAGAAGCAGCTCTAACATTCATATTTCTACTAACATTCTGTTCATGACAGTATATGTATTCTCTAGGAGGATGGAAGCTTTCTCTATAGTGCTCCTCACTTCCTTCTTAGCTCTTACCAGAATTACCTTTAACTCCATATTTATTTCTGCGAACTTTCTCTTCAAGGGGCTCTAAGCTTTTTCTATCAAGTACCTCAAAATTCTTCCAGACTCTGTCCATTACCAATTTCAAAGCCATCTCCACGTTTTTAAGTATTTGATACAGAGGCACGCTACTTCCTGCTATCAAAATCTGTGTTTTTTTAGGGCTGCCATAATAATTACCACGAACTTGGTAATTTTTTCTCTTACATTTCTGGAGTCCAGAAGTCTGAAATTAAGTTGTTGGCAGTGCCAGGCTTCCTCTGAAGGCTCCAGGGAAAACTCCTTCCTTGCCTCTTCCTAGCTTCTGGTGGCTCCTGGCCAGCCTTGTCATCCCTTAGATTGTGGCTGCATCACTCAGTCTCTGTTTCCATCTTCATATGGCTTTCTACCTCTGTGTACCTCTGTGTGTCTTCTCTTCTTGCTGTAAGGACAACAGTTATTGGATATAGGGCTCACTCTAATTCAATATGACATCATCTTAACTCAATTGTGTCTTCAAAGATCTTATTTCCAAATAAGATTATACTGACAAGGTTGCAGGTAGACATGAATTTGAGGGAGAACACTATTCAACTCGCTACAGAGTACATGGTGGAACAAACTGCAAGACCAGTTGATTCTTGTAATATATTGGGTTGTCGGAAAAGCCATGACACATTTTTGCAATGAAAAGCATATAAAAAATACGTCATGACTTTTCCGACAACCCAATAGTTTTTATAAATGCTACCTTGACTCGGTTTTGAGGCCTTGATTAGGGGCCAGTCAGTTCCCTTCTTGAGCAGCCAATTAAGGCCACACTTCCAACCACCTCCTTCATGGGCTGTCACACTCTGGGCCACCATCCACCTGCCCTAATCACCTCAGAACCGGGTACCAGTCAACTACCAGTGAACTATGGACAGCTCCTATGTCCTTGAGCCCTCTGAAAGTATTTAGACTAGCCAATCCTAAACCTGGTTACCTTGCCTTATCTATTCCTTCCCGAGGAAACCACCATAAAGGCTTTGCCCACAGTTCACCTTCTCCCTTTGCCTCCTGACCTCATCTTCAGTCACTCTCTGTGTGCCCGACCCCACCCCCTGCCCCACATGAAGTGTATTCTCTCTATTGGGAACTTTGATCAATTGGCCTTACCATACCTAAATAATAATGTTGGGGTTCAGGTAATTAACAAAAACCGAGACAAAGGGTCTTCATTTCAAAGACTTTATTCCCGAGCTCGGGGGTCCGTCTCATTGGGGAGAGAGAGAAAGAGAGCGGACCCCGAGTCTTGGCTAGTGGGGAAATATATAGCTTAGGCTGGATACAGAAGCAAAAAAAAGCGGTTAGTGAGTAAAAAAATTTTAACAAACAGAGTCAACTTATTTTCTAGCTAGTCATAAAACTTGGCAAGTTTATTTTCTTCTAACAAACTATAAATCAGGACTTATTTATTTTTCTCTAACAGCATACCTAATTTATCTCAAGCCATAAAGCATTGAGCTTATCTCTTCCCTAGCAAGCAAGCCATAAAACATTTAGTTTATCTTTTCCCTAACAAGCAAGCTAAAAGCATTTAGTTTATCTTTTCCCTAACAAGCAAACTAAAAAACATATAGTTTATCTTTTCCCAATTTCTTGACAAGATACTTTGTTAATTTTGCTGAAGCAGAAGTTTCTTTCATTTCCCTGGACCTGGATCCCCACAATAATAATAATAATAATAATAATAATAATAATAATAATAATATAACCTATTGAAACAATTGTCCCAGCAAGCAGGGTGGTTTGGTCCCAGACCAAAAGACATGCTACTAGACTGCTCTTGACTTATTAACAGGTTCTTCCAGATGGCAGTGGCAACCGGGGCAGGTTCACTGCCAGCTGGCCTGTGAGTGCTATGGCTGCAGCTGCTTTGTGTTGCCTCCCAGATGTTGCTGTAAATCCCCTCCACTAATTGTGGAACTTGTACACAGAGTCTTCCCTCAGTTCCTGTGTCAAGATGTCAAGTGTCTAGGACAGAGCACCTAGGGGCAGCTCAAATGAATTGGCTACTTCTGACTGTTGAAAGGCTCCTCCGAAGAGAGTGAGGCATGGCTCCTTCCAGGGTGGGTCTGAGCAGCTGCACCGGCAACACTGACAGGTGGTGGGGCCAACAGTCTTTACATTCTGTAATAGAGTTGTTTTCTTTGGTCTTTTCCATACTGTAGTGGGAGGCTACTCTGTCTCCAGCCATTCAGAGAGTCAACATAAGGGCATCCCAGTGACCAAGGCAACCAGTGTCCTGTGGTAAGAGTCAAGATTGTTATGTTGTTGTTTGTCTAGCTACCTAGCCCAACAGCGTAGGAGGAATCCCATGAATGGAGACCAGTGGCACAAACCTTAATGAAAAAGGAAACTGAGGGACACCATCCCTATCCTTCCTAAGACCCCTGGGGAAGTCATGCCATTGATTCAGGAATGTAAAACTTGAACAATGTTCATGGGCCTTTTAATTAAAAACTGGGCAATGCTCATGGGCTTTTCTGAGCTCTACTGCTTACCAGCGCTCCAAGGGCATTATGCTCAAAAGCTGGAGCCCCCAAATACTGATGAGGCCACCGTGGCTCTATAAGAAGTAGATCTAGACCCCTCAGAGGTCAATTGGGACACCCTGGAGAAGGGAGGCCACCACCTACAGACAGGGCCACTTGGGACCACCAAGAGTTTACCTGGTAAATACTCAAAGGGTCAAAACAATTTGGGACAGACAGAGACTACAACAGAAACTAAAATTTTACCTACCTAGAGATACAATCCATTCTAAAACGTTTTATCCAAAAGGACAGTGAAAAGGGAATGTACTTCAGAGTAGGGGCTAACTGCACTGCCCAAGAAGAGGCTGTTACAGCACTCCAAGTGCAAACCCCAATCCTTGAGAAGTGGACGAGGAGCCTGGGAAAGGGAAATGACTACTTACAGGGGCGCCTAGAAGATCCACACAGGAGTTATTAGTCAGAGACAGAAACTAGAAACTGTAGATTCAGGCAGCTAAAAGCCTAAAATGAACAGACAAACAAAGGAGAAAAAAATAAATAAATAAAAAACAAACATAGATACAGCATAGAAAATAAAAAGTAAATAAATAAATAAATTTTTATATGTATGTGTGTGTGGGAGAGATGTTAAGAAAATTTGCCTTCATCGGCTAATATTAACTTTTGTCTGTTGGCTTTTTGTTCTATCACATGAGAGACTGCATGTGATGTCTGTTGGCTCTTTGCTCCTTCACATGAGAGACTGCATGTGGGGTGATGGTTAGCTTAGGGTTAAGAGAATTCTTAGTTAGGGTTGAAAGAATTCCCCCCTTTGTCTCATTCCCAGCAGGGGAGATATGAGATGAGTTGCTTTCTATCTGTTTCCCCTGCATAAGCAGATGAAATAAAGAAGTAGCTAAGTTATCAGGATGATGTGACAAGCTTTGGAAGGCCTTGGGTAATGGTCCCAGGCAAGAATAGTAGGTATTGTTTTCATTAGCAGGATAGGCAACATTCTTATCATTAACTATCTAACCCTCCCGGAACTGGCTATTCCTTGAGAGGGTAGGCAGGAACACAAAACTTGGCTCTGGGGTGCATCAAAAGGATATATAAGACAGACCTCAGGTGGCATAATTATAATTTTTTGCTGTTGGATTGCTGTTGGGTTGCTGTTGGATTGCTGTTGGGTTGCTGTTGGATTGTTGTTTCAAGAGATTGCTTTTTCAGAAGATTGCTGTTTCAGAGGATTTGCTGTTAAGGGCTGCTTTTCAGGATTGGATTGTTTCAGAGTAAGAAATTGAAACTTGCCTCAATGGACACTAAATAATTCTTTTGTTGGTGATTCTTCACCATTCTAACATACTTGAGAACTAACAAGCAGCAGTGGGGGATGTCTCAGTTGTTCCAGCCACAGACCTGACAAGGATTTAATTCCTGTCTTCTCCAGACCTCAATTGACAGTACAGGATTTTTGTTATTCATTTGGTGTTCATCATTGATCATTTGTCATGATTCTGGCATTGGCTTGCAGCATCAGGAGATGTTCTGACTTCCAGCTGTGGACCTGGTGAGATCTGACTGATTTCCAACCTCTCCAGTGTTGTTTTCTCACAGTTCGGTGAGCTTCTTTGACATAATATTATTATTAATGTGTGTAGTTTAATTTCAACTGCTTTTTACTTTCTATCATTACATATTCCTGTGATTGTACTCTGTTGATTGCCTTGGTTGCCTTTGTCTTTTGCTATTGTATACTGTTAATTAAATTGACAAGATATTGCTAAATAAATTGATTAAATATTGCTAAATAAATCAATTCATTCCCCCTAGTGTCAGCTCTGCTCCTCCTTCTCTTTCCCCACTCGTCATTACAGTGTGCATGTGTGTATAAGGTCCATAATTTGACTCAATTGTAAATGAAAAATTTACTAAAAGAATTTATATGACAAAAAGATAAAAGGGTCACTGATTGGCTTTTGTGCCTCAACAGCACAGATTCTAAATTATCTTAACATCTGCTAAGATGTACCAATTGACAAAGCTTCATGGTCTTAATCAATGCTGGGGTTCAAATTAGAGTTCTACCTGGAGATCCTATTAAATTTAAACATTGTAACCCCTATAATCTTAGGAAAGTAACTACATATAAAATAGAGAAAAATAGGTATGCCTCACTTTAACTATAGCCTTGCCTAAATTTCCCATAGTCATAGTACCCTTTGCCCTAAAATAGCCCACATTGGACATCAATCCTCTAATGCATGAGTAATAAATTAAAATAAGTCTTTGGTATTTACAAATTGGCTTGATGACATGGACTTCCAGTTAAAATAGTTAACATGGCTCAATGTAAGTTAAAACACAGCTTTTAAAATGTAGAACTTATATTACATAAGACCTAATTAATAAAGGGGTGATTGTCCCCACTGCTTCTCCATGTAACAGCCCAGTCTTGCTTTATTTTAAACAACACCAAAAAAGCATGGGCACCTCCTGGTGGATTACTGCAACCTTAGTGTCATGATCCCATACCTAATGCCCAATAGTATTAAAATTACTGACTCCATCCAATCAACAACCAGTAAATATTTTACTATTACAGACTTGGCTCACATGTTCTGTTCAGCGTGTATTTCAACAGGCTCTAGGTCACAGTTTATCTTACCTCCAAAGGGACACAATACACCCTTTCCAGGCTCCATGGAGTTCCTCACAGCGTTGTCATCACACAATCTTTGCACACAGAATCTAAGGTGCATCCTGTCTCAAGCAGCACCAGTACAACATTACATCGATGGCCCTCCTCCAAGGATATGCACTTGACACACAGGGTGTGGACATGCAAGCCTTTGTGGGTTCTAATGGCAACATATTCTCCATTTACAAATTTTTCCTAATCTTACTGATGCTACTACTTACAATCAACCCACCCTAAAAGGGGCCCCTGCAACAAAAGGCTCTAGAATCTGTCCAAATTAAAATCAGTAGACACTCCCATTAGTGCCTCAGAGGCTCCTTCGCTGGAGAGGTTTCGACAACTCTTCTCATTCCTCCTAGAGTCTCTGGACCACCTATGATGCCGTAAGTTATCATATAGCCTCTGATGCAAAAGTTGTCCCTCCTGGGCCTGTGCTACACACCATTAAAACAAAGACTACATATGGGGATGTCCTGGAAAAGGGGACACTCACAGACCCTGAGCCTGTGACCCTCCCCATACGCAGCTGCCCATTATGCTTTGGACCATGGAAACAGCACCCCATGAGCTCAGCACAGTTACTGAGGACTCCTTAAGACAGGATGGAAGCAATCCTGGGCCTTTTGGCATACTCCACTTGCAAGAGCAGTTGGCTTCCCCTGTCCTCTGTCACTTGCCAGATGCCACAGTGCCAGAGGTCACTCCTCCTCCAGACCCCTTGATAGCTGGGGTGTCCCTTGAATGAATTAAGCGAACTTTAATGGGACTTTACAGCATTGCCACCATCACAAATGGAGCTCAGTGGAATGTTGCTTTCTTCTACCCCTTAGCCAAGATATCCCTGGACGGGACTAGGAATCAAAATAAATGACCAAACTTAAGGCAGTCATCTTAGCACTGAATTCTCTGGCCAACAAATGGTCCTATCTGCACACTCATTACAAAGTTTTGGGCCATTGCCTGAGAGTTGCCCTTTTCAGGGTAAAGAACTTTGGATTTTCCTGCCTCACAGACACCAAAATATAAGCCAAAATTTACATATGCTAAGGCCACAATACAAGGCCTTGCCAGGATGCTCCTTATTCCCTTCAGAGTAACAGACATCACTGGTAGTAACCAAAGCACAAATTTCACTTCTCAGAACACACAGTGCTGGACTCTTAAAAAAGATATTGAGAACCTTTGTGTTCCTCATAGTTCTCAGGTATCTGGTTTAATGGAGAGACATGTGGTCTCCTCAAATAGCTCTTTTTCAAATTCCAATCTGATTAATGGGTGATTTCTCACCCCAAGCCTTAAATCAAGGCCCCTTCTTAATTCAACTTCTTAATTCAAGGCCCCTCGACTAACTTAAACACCACAGCAACTGTGATTATTAATTTTATGTGTCAACTTGGCTGGCCAGATATCTGGGCAAACATTATTCTGGGTATTTCTGTGTAAGTATGTTTTTCGATGAGATTCACATTTAAATCAATGGACTTTGAGTAAAGCAGATTGCCCTCCCTCATGTGGGTGGGCCTCATCCAGCCAGTCGAAGGCCTGAGTAGAACAAAAAGACAAGCTTCCCCCAGCAAGAGGGATTATCCAACAGACAACCTTCAGACTTCATCTGTAACATTGGCCCTTCCTGGCTGTATAGCACTCTGCCTTTAGACTGGAATGGCAGCACCCTTTTCCCTGGTTTACAGCCTGCTAACCCTCCCTGTAAATTTTGGATTTGCTAGCCTGCTTCTCTGGAAAATGTTGACTAATAACCCAACTTTAAAAAACTTTTACATCACCCTTTCCTATACTTAAAGAAGGTTATGTTTAGCCTCCATGTAAATAGCCATTTAATATGGCTCCCCCATCTTTATAAATTTTCAATCTTGTCCACATCCCATAATCTGGAGGCCAGATTAAGGGTGAATACTCTCCTGGGACCTATTAACTCTATAGACTGTCCTATGTGCCAGGTAATGGTCAATTTGTTATGGGACTAATAACACTTACACTACCCAAGAAAACCCAAAACCCCCGAAACAACAACAATAAAAAACCTTCCTGAATATTTAGTTATAATGGGTCAATAATTAATCTGGACTCTCCCTCTGATCCCTTCCAGGAAATTAAAATTAGTTCTTGGGCTGGCCAAGTGGCGCGTTGGTTAAGAGCTGGCTTGGGACACCAGCTCTGAGCAGCAGGGCTCGGGTTCAGATCCCACATGAGGGCCAGTGACACTGCCCTCTACAGCTAAGATGGTGAACAAAACAGCTCGACCTGGAGCTGGGCTGCCGTGAGTCACCAGCGACAGCATAGGCTGCAGGCCCTGCTGCAGTGGGCTGCCATAATCTACTGTGAGCAGCTGGCAGCCGGTGTGAGCTACCAAGAGCCACTGTGAGCGGCCGTCCAGAGGCCGGCGACCAATCTGCCTCACCTGGGAAGAGCGCAATGATAATACCAACATGGGCCAGTGAAGTGACGTCCTCCACAGCTAGATTGAAGAATAAAAGGAAAGCAACTTGTCTGTTCCCCTTCCCCGATTCCCCAACTCCCCAACTCCCCAACGCTATTCCCATCTCCCAATTCCCCAATAAAATCTTAAAAAAATAAAAAATAAAATAAAACAAAATTGATTCTCCAGGTCCATTCTCATAGACTGTGGAATACTAAAAAAGGGAGATAAAAAACTTTACTTCGTAAATAAAAATCACTGTCAGAGATAATAATTAAATCAATGCCATATCCCATAATGATAAAACCAGACAACACCTCCTTGGTAAGAATACATGCCAGAGGAAAATCAGCATCAGATAACAAAAGCTTGCCAAGTACAGCTGCACACCATTCTGCTGACTGTTGGCCTTGGTGCTATTGCTCCAGGTGTTTTGATTGGTCTACAATTCAGAGGCCCAAACCCTCCAAGTAAGACATTGTTTCGGTTAAACAGAGCAAATGCTGAGGCCCACACGCCATTGAGTTTGGCTAACATAAACCCTACAACCCAAAGACCTCACCAGCTTGCCCATCACCAACCAAGCCAATGACTGAGGCAAAGGGCAATGGTAACTGGCTATATTGGAGGGCCTGCCTACAAGTTAATGCTGGAGCTCCAAACTCAGCCTCAGATATTTTAATTGGCAAACAACCTCATGTCCTATTAGCAACACCCAAATCAGGCCATATTATTTAAAACCTGTTTGTAATATTACCCTTCTCATTAGCCATCTGGGCAAAACCTTGGATTATTGAAAGCTTTCAGATTCAGTCATCCTTAGTGGATGTTTTAATTGTGCCACTTAGGTTCTGGTGCTTTGGTCCATTATGACAGTATGACAGATGGGAATGACACCTTTAGCTATGCATCCCTAACCCCTTGACATAAAAGGTATTGACAAGTCAAGCTCCTAGAACCAACATTGCCTTCAAATTACACAAATGGCTCAGCCTCATTATGTTACCATAGAGCCACCTGACCAGGACCCACATCAACCCAAGTGGATATGTTCTAAAAAGAACACCCCACTTCCATATCCCAGAAGACATCATCCCAACTCAAGACTTGGCCCTTGGAGATGACTTTCCCCCTATACCAGAGGTGACTCTATCTCAGACACTAAAGCTAGAGATAAAAGATAAGAGCCCAGGGTTGAGCTATGGTGCACTTCAAACCTTAAACCCCAGGCAGAGGAGTCTATGCTGGCAATGAATCCGTGGAAGAGCTTCTGGAGAGGTGGGAATGAAAGGAAAAGATGCCAATGTCTGGAGCAGAAGGGAGACTATCCTCAGAAACAAAGATGGGCCACATTTCCTGCTTCTCCACCACCCACCACAGTCCCCAGGCAGGTAGAGGTGCCCCAGCCCCTCAACATTAGGTCCCAATAGTTCCCAGGGCCAATCAGGGACCCTTAGGACTGGGAATCTGCAGGCACAGGCTCCCTACTCCTAGGCCTCTTCCTGCATACCAAGAGTCCCCCCTTCCCAGCTCCTTCCCTCCTCCCTGCTCCCCAACTGTCCAAACCAGAGCTACTGGCCAGTTCATGTTTTTGCATTCCCTATGAAATATCAGAAAACAAAATCGTGTGATTATATTTAAAATATATTGCATATGTTGAAATTCCAAAATAATGTTTAGAGAGAAGAGGCTCTATTTCTTAAATAAATAATCTTATAATTTACAATTTTCATTTAGTTTTTCAAATATTCAGAGGGTATTTGTCCTTTTAGAAGTTAAAGTAAAATCTTAAAAAAAATTTTTTTATTGTGGTAAAATTCACTTAATAAAATTTACCATCATAACCATTTTTAAGTGCACAGTTCAGTGGTATTAAATATATTCACACTGCTGTGCATCTATCACCACCATCCATCCTCTGAAATTAAACCTTTCACAAAAATCTTTCTTCAGTATATTATTTTATTACAGATTTCTGTAAGTTAAAGTTAGTTGCTATAACAGATAAATTTGAAAATATTGGTTGTTGGAACATCACACAAATTTATCTTTATTTCAACACAGGCTTTCAAATATCAAGTGAGTCTGCTTATTCATTTACCTCCAAAAATAATTCAGGAACTCAGGTACCTTCGGGTTTTGGATTTGTCATCACCATCATGTGGCTTCAAATCTGGCTATGGTGCTTGGTTTCCTCCTGCTCTTCTGTAAAGGAAAAAATAGTATCTCATGGGTGACATTTTAACAGTCAGACCTGTACAAGGTGAACCTTGCTTCCACCGGCATTTACATACACAGTGCTCATTTCATGGCCACATCTAGAACAAAGAGGCTGGGATGGGAATCTGTGAGACTATTGCAAAGAGGAGACAAGTTTGGCAAATAAGACTCTTGATTTTTATGTTATGTGTACAAATACTGATTTTAGAATAAACAATTTTCTTCTTTTTTTTAAAATGGTGAAAGAGAAGTTTATCGGACGAGTTAGTATACTCCAAAGAATTAGGAGTGGGCCGAAAACAGAGAAAAGCAGCTCAAGCCCCCAGCTCAAAGGCTCAAGGTGGCATTATTAGGAGAAAAAGTACACTCCAAAGAGTTTGGAGCAGGCCCGAGCAAAAGACGCTGCTCAAAAGGCCGACAATTTTCTTGACTGCACACATTTTATCCAATAAAAAAAATGACTTAACACCTGATTCTACAAATTAATCCCAGTGACTGAACTTGAGGAAAAAAGGCAAGCATGTCAATCAATGCCTTTTGAAAGGGGAACGTATGTGAATTTTGAGGACAGAAATCAAAGTTGGAAAATATCCAAGATTATAGCTATCTTTTAAAAAGAAAGATATGGGACCGGCTGAGTGGCGTGTTGGTTAAGAGCTGGCTTGGGACGCCAGCTCTGAGCATCAGGTCCCTGGTTCGGATACCACATGAGGGCCAGTGACACTACCCTCTACAGCTAAGATGGTGAACAGCAGCTCGACCTGGAGCTGGGCTGCCATGAGTCGCTGGTGACGGCGTAGGCTGCAGTGGGCTGCCATAAGCTACTGTGTGTGGCCGGCAGCCAGCGTGAGCTGCCAAGTCGCTGTGAGCGGCCATCCAGAGGCCGGCGACCGATCTGCCTCATCCGGGAAGAGTGCAATGATAATACCAACATGGGCCAGTGAAGTGACGTCCTACACAACTAGACTGAAGAACAAAAGGACAGCAACTTGTCTGTTCCCCTTCCCCAACTCCCCAATAAAATCTTAAAAAAAAAAGAGAGAGATGGCCAGCCGAGTGGCTCAGTTGGTTAAGAGCACAAGCTCTGAGCAACAGGGTTGCTGGCTCGATTCCCACATGGGCCAGTGAGCTGCACCCGAGCTGAGCTGCTGACAGTTGGCAGGATGGCTCAGCTGGTGAGATCACGTGCTCCTAACAACAAGGTTGCTGGTTCGACTCCTGCATGAGATGGTGGGCTACGCCCATCCACAACTAACATTGAACACAGTACCTTGACCTGAGTGGCATTGAGCTGCTGGCGGGCTGCCGGATGGCGACTGGACTTGGAGCTGAGCTAGCTGCGCCTTCCACAACTAAAATTGAAGGACAACTTGGCTGTTCCCCTTTCCCAATTTCCCAATAAAATCTTTAAAAGAAAAACAAAACAAATGTGATGAGCATATTCAGTAACATTTAGATATGGATTGACCTTGGTGCCTTCCCTCAGTCACACCGACAGATACCCACATGTCCAATGAGGTCTATATTGTAATTCACTCAGATGCAAAGAGAATGGCAGGGGACTCACTCTTTCAAGTTTTTTCAGCACATTGCAGTGTCCTGCAGCTTATGTGTGATAAGTTAAATGGACAAACAGGTTACCTTCTCTAGTATTAAATAAAATAGTCCTTACAAAATGGAAAATTGACTGAACGAGATTCCTGACAGAAAACAACGAACAAAGTCAACTTTAATTGTACAATCACCAGGTGAACGACAACACCCAAAGCCATAATTATGCTTCTGCTGTTAGTAGGAACTCTTCTTCCCAGCACACACTGGCTACTGAGGCAACAAATGCCTGATCAGGTCTATAAGTAAGCAAAAAAATCAAAAGTGTATGGAAAATTATTTGAAATTTTAATATATGGATTCTCCTACATTACATTTTTATTACAAGATACTTAAGATTTGCTAAACTTCAAGATGAATAAAGCACCGTTTATTATTCATTTTTAAATTGTGGTAAAATACCCATACAAAATTTAGCATCTTAACCAATTTTAAATTCATCAGTGTTAATTAAGTTACATTGTTATTCAATGAAGGGGATTGGAATATGTCCCCCCAAAACATGCCACTTTGGCATAAAGATTATTCTGAGCTGAAGCAGATTATTTTGAAGCAGATTCAGGAGGAGTCCTTGCCATGCCCCTCTCTGCCTAAAAGGAGGATGTTCATTCCCTTTGTGAAGGTGCACCCCTCCCTTTCCTGGGCCAGGAAGAGGAAGACAATCCTATCACTGGAGACAGAAAGTCAGCACTGAGATGAGTCTGTACAAACAAATCCTGATAAAATAACCGTTATCTTCCAGTACTTTCCCCACAATTTACTGCCCCTAGAAGCCCAAGCCCCTTCTCCTTTGTTTTGTCACTTCACAAATTTATCACCCTTTGTTAAAATGATACATAAGCTCCTGGGCCTAATCACCACTTTGGGTCTCACTCTTTTCCATGAAGGTCTCCATGAATATAAAAATTAAAATATTAGTATAAAATAAAATATGTATGCCTTTTCTTCTGGTAATCTCTCTTTTGTTAGTTAACTCTCAGGCCCAAGTTACTAAGCCTAAGAGGGTAAAGAAAAGTCTTTTTTCTTTTCCTAGAGCAAGCAATCTCTAGAACTCTTTTCATCTTGCCAAACCCATTATGCAATAACTCCTCATTTCCCCCAGCCCCTGGCACCCCACTCTACTTTCTTTCTCTATGACTTTAACTACTCTAAGTACTCATATAAGTGGAATCGTACAGCATTTGTCTTTTTGTGGCTGCCTTATTTCACTTAGAATAATGTCTTCAAGATTCATCCATGTTGTAGCTTGTGTCAGAATTTCCACGCTTTTTAAGACTGAATAATATTCTATTGTTCATATAGACCACATTTTGTTTATTCATCTGTTAATGGATGCTCAGGTTGCTTCCACCTTTTGGCTACTGTAAATAATGCTGCTATGAACATGTGGGTACAAATACCTGTTCAAGTCCCTGCTTCCACTTCTTTTGAATATATACTCAGAAGTGGAATTAATGGGTCATATGGTAGTTCTATTTTCAATTTTTTGAGGAACCGTCACACTATTTTCCACAGTGGCTGCATCATTTTAAGTTCCCACCAGTAATGCACAAGAGTGCCAATTTCTCTACATCCTTGCCAAATACTTCTTATTTTCTGGGGTTTTTTCTTTTGATAATAATGGATATAAAGTAATATCTTGTTGTGGTTTTGATTTTGCTTCCCTAATGATTAGTGATGTTGAGCATCTTTTCACATGCTTATTGGCCATCTGTAAGTCTTCTTTGGAGAAACGCCTGTTCAAGTCCTTTGCCCATTTTTGAATTGGGTTAGGTTGTGTGTTTTGTCTAAATTTTGATAGCTATAGTTTTGAATGCCTTCCTAGTTCTTACAATAACTACAATTCATCTTTTAAAGTAGTCATTCAGTATTGACCGAGAGTCAACTATTGCCAGATGCCAGGAAGGGACCAGTGAACAAGACACAGCCTCTGCATTCACAGCTTGCAGTCCAGCAGGGAAAGCAAATAAGAAATGACAGTCTGAAGAATGTTACAGAGGGAGAAATACAGGTGCTCCAGAAACAGATAGAAAGGGTCAGAGAGGGCTTCCCTAAGGAAGGGTTATTCAACATGAAGATGAAGTAATGAGGATTGGCTACGCAAAGGTGAAGTAGAGGAGCTCTTTAGACAGGAAGAACAGACTATGCAAAGCCTTGAATCAGAAGGGAAAGCACACTGCAGAGTTGAAGGAAGTACAGGGTGGCTGGCAGGCAAGAATGGGGAGGAAAGAACCACCTGTGGAAGGCCCTGGCAGTCTTAGCCTCAGGACGGTGAACAACTATTGAAGTTTTTAAGCAGAATGAGGTTTGTATTTTTAAAAGTTCACATTGTCTGCTCTAAGAAGAATAGATTTGGAGGAATGCAGGAAGACCAACCAACTTATGGGGGCAGGGCACAGGATAAAGATTGGGCATTGTAATCCAGGCAAGAAATGGTGGTGACAGAGGGAGAAGAACGTAGAGTCAACATCACCCTGAGAAGAACTTGCTCTGACTACACTGCTCTTCCAAGGAGGATGAGAGACATGCAGAGCAGAGATGCCCCAGCTGAGCCTGGCCCAGGTGAGCTGACCTGCAGACCCATGAGGAAGTCCAGCTGAGCCTCCCAGCCAACCCTAGCTTAGATCAGTCAACTTCTGCCAACCTTCGACATATGATAAATTAGTGTTTTTTTTAGTTATTTCAGACACATGATAAATTAGAGTTTGGGGGTAGCTTGTTTTGAAGCAATGGCAATCTAATACAGATAGCATCTAGCATAATATCTAAAGCTATTACTTTTTCAGGGCCACATAGCAAACCAAAGCATAGGTGGAGGAACTTGGCCAAAACAGTGAGTCTCCCATGTGGAGCCATGTCCACAAACATCTTCAGAGTACAAGTTAATCCCTTTTGAGGAAAAGTAATGGAAAAACAGGTGTCACATGTCCTAAAGACAGGGGCTTGCAGATTGCTGGACCCCTATTAGGGTGGACATTGGGGAAAAAAAAGAGGAAAACAGAGAAAGAGAGGAGAGAAGAAGGGAAGAGAGGGGAGGAGGGGAGAGAAGGGAGGGGAAGGGAGGGGAAGGAAGGAGAGAGTAGAGTCAACAGGACTTAATGGCTGACTAAGTCCTGGAGATGGGGGAGTGTAGGAGGGGTTCCAGATTTGGGGTCTGGGTACCTGAATGGATTAAAGGTCACTAGCTGACACAGAGATAGAGGAGGGCCCTGTCTGAAGCTTTTTCTTCCTGTTGGACTAAAACAATTTTAAATGCAAACAAAAAAACTAGAGTTTATGAATTTATCTCTTATCTCCAAAGGTTGAAAATATTACCTGTTTATTCATTTTACATAAAAACCACTGGAATAAAACAATTTAAAAGACTGTCCTTA